ATAAGATATCATCACAATCGCTGCAATAGGTAATTTTTTACCCCACGAAATTTTACGGTCCTTATTTTCCTTTGAAATGATTAAGAACTTTACACTGAAAAAAGTTCTGTTGTCACAAACCAGAATCTCTGGTTGTATTTCGCAACCAGATTTTCCGGTTGATTCAACCAGAATTACAGTTGACTCAACCAGACGTCCGGTTGACTCTACCAAATTCTGGTTGAGTCAACTGTAATTCTGGTTAAATCAACCGGAAAATCTGGTTGCGAAATACAACCAGAAATTCTGGTTTGTGACAACAGAACTTTTTTTTCAGTGTAGAGGAAAAAAATTCTTATTTCCGCCTTAGAAATCTATGTTCAATTATTCGCAATTTAATACTAAGCACCCTGCTTAATTCAAATCGGTATCATAGAATTCGAGGAGTGCATCCTGATTACGCGTTTTCAAATTCTGAACTCCACCTATTTTTTAATTTTCAGTTACGGCGAGCAAGTGACTAAACTTTTTTCATAAATGGCAAGGAAATTAATTAAGCAAAGGTAAGTATGTATGAGGTTATTCGACGTCAAGAGACCATTCAGCACAACGGCGATCGAACCAATTTCAATAAATGAAGTCACGTAAAATTTCTCCCCTGCCGAATGGTTCAGGGTTCTGCGCGCCCTGCCTTTGCATGTTCTTTGCAGCGTCCTCTCGCTGTCTTGTGCAATCGCGGCATGCGCGCTACATACGCCCCGGCCAACAAGTGCTGGGCATGTCACGCAGCTTCACTGCGAAGTTCTCGGGGCAAGACGCGCCTTCAAATCGATGCGACGCAGCCGGTCCAACAATCCGGGAAATCAAGCGAACCTCCTTACATACCGCGCCGCGCCGTCTGACCCGTTAATGCCCCTGCTGCACAACGGGCGATCTCGACGCTCGGGGCATTGGACAGCTCTGACACAACCGAACGGGTGATAATTAAATTTGGGAGTGTTCGATTCTGAAAGTCAGTGGCGTGGCGTGCTTTGCGATAGATCGACTGATCTGCCACTTAAACGTATGGCAAAGGATCGGTAAAGAGGGTGTTCGCAACTAACACCTGAATAATTATTGATTCTCCACCATAGCTTCAAATTGGGAAATATCGATATAATCGATCATTCACGCCTCGCCACTTACAGATACCGCACAGTTTAACGCAGGGAACGGCCAAAATTTCACAAACTGACTTTCCTCTCTATTTTGGTTGTTCCCTGATAAGCTGCGAAGTGACTGGTCCATTCTAGGTGGTGGGTTTCTTTTTTTCCGCCTCGATCAAAATAAACAATAAGTTGAATTGAACACTTTTTTTAAAAAAAAGTGAATTGGCCGGGTGTCTATCAAGCTCCTCGGCTCTCTCTCTCTCTCTATCTCCGACTTTCCACGTTTTTCCTGGCCCTTGGAATGTCCGTCTCCCTCACTTTCTTCGATCTTTTTTTCCCTGTCAAAAAGAAACAAAAAATAAACATAGCTCGGCGCACAGTACCTGTTGCGGCTCGGATTTTCGAAAAAAAAAAATGCATCACAAACCAGGAGAGAGCGCTGCTGCAGGGTTCAAAGCGCCGCGAAATTCTACAAAAAATCACATTCTTGTACGGAGAGCTAGTGATCGTGGCTTTCCCGGTTATATGCGTTTTCTCTTAGTGACGAGGCTTGGATGGTCGATTATCGATATTCCCAATTCGAAGCTGTGGTAAAGAATCGATTATTAAGGTGTTCGTTGCGAACACCCTTTTCATCGATCCTTTACCATAGATTTAAAAGACGGATCAATCGCGATATATCGTAAAGCACGCCACGATACGGTTTCTCTCCATAACTTTCGGTTTTTCTGGCCGCTGGACACCTTGAAGATACCGCACCTTTAGAGTAAGACAACAAGAGTTTTGTATTAGTAGAGAAATAATGAGGGCATTATTTCCCTTGGCGTTTCTTCGTTTTAACGCAAATGGGACATTTTTTTAATTGGAGCAAGAGTTATCAAACATTTCCCGAGAAACCTAAACTTACTAGGTATAATATAAAAAGGAGACGACATTTCAAGTGCGCTGCAAAATAAAATGTGGTTTTTCTCATGCCTAAGCTAAGTCTAAATACAGACCGAGAAAAATAAGCTGTGTTTCACACTGACGAAAACACGAGGTAAAATTTCAAAACTCCTTCATTCTCAAGGCTATGCAATTAATGCTAGGGGGTTTAAACAGTTGTATCGTGCTTCGGGTGAAGATATAAAGGATATTCGCTTAAGAATGCGAGACTCAAGTGATTCCCCACAAAATCTAATCTCGAAAATTCTACGTGAATTTTTGTGATGCGTTTTGACAAAAATCCCTAGATATTTTAAGTACACGACATACGTACCCGTTAATGGACTAAGTTGATAGCTGAAACTTTTGAACGTTGCGATCTAACAATAAGACGTACTTAAATTAAAAAAGAGGTAAGGTAGGTACGGGTGACGGCCGCCGTACTGCTTGAAAATTTCGGAAATGTGGTAAAATATCAACTATAGACCCTTAGGTAGGTACAAAGTGACACACTTTCCAGAATTTTAGAAGCATTTCCGAAATTTTTACGGTTTTTTTTTTTTTAAAGATTTCGGAAATGCTTTCAAAATTCTAGAAAGTGTGACATTTCGTGCCTAAGGGTCTATAGTTGATATTTTACCACATTTCCGAAATTTTCATGCGATACGGCGCGGCGGCGGCCGACAGATGCATCGCCGCGCCGCGCTGCCCTGCCCGCACTGTGTTTGGCGCAATGCGTGAAGTATTCATGCAGTCTTGTAGGCGCTACGCGTTTCGCGCTGACCGCACGGTGTTTGACGCAATGCGTGAAGTATTCATGCACTCTTGTAGGCGCTAATGTGTGTTATATGTCGACCGCCGCGCTGTGCCGAGGGCTTCTCCTTTTCATCTCGAGTCCTCGTCATCATTGCTCTCTGCGCCGCGCCGCGCCGCGCCGCTCCAAGCCAATTGCGTGTTTGGTTTCTCTCTTACCTCGAATAATTAAAGGTGCGCTGTCTCTTGTATCACCAAAAGACGAAAAAATTAGAATTTATCATACTCTCAGGAAATGAGTTATTTTGTCACCTTTTCACATTTGTAATTTTTTTCTGAATCCGATTTTTTTATACCTACATTTAAAAAAATTGCAAAATGTGCCGTCCCCTTAATTTGCCGCCATGGGCTGCGGCCCACACGTGGCCACCCCCTAAATCCGGCCCAGTCAAGGTCTATCGAAATATCAGAAGGAGATGCTTGGTAAATCGAAAAATGGCAACGACAAACCGAAATTTCGGCAATGTTTTCATCTAATACTTTGCCAAACAATAATCCAGATTTTTTCAAGATGTTGATCCTGTAATATTTTAAGGAAACCCATATGAACTGCATCAGAATGCAGAGATGCGTACCTATCTCGTGATCAAATGTCATTTTCCAATCATACAATGCTTGATCTAGCCATATGAGATCAAACTGAATCTTATATGATAAGGAATTGTAAGCGTGAAACTCTTTTTTCAATCTTTAAATGATCAAAATCCGCCAACAACAGGTTTAAAACAGTAATTGCAAAAATGCGTATCTCATGATGAAGTGTCAATTCTTAGTGCCGAAAACGCGAATCTCGGCATTTCTGCCGTATTTTCTGGCAGTTCGAGAAATTATTCAAAATGCTGATGGAGTCTGAAAAAGCATCTTATTCTTGCTATCCTCAAGGATTTACCCTTCTACTAACAATAAAGAGGAGGGATAATGTAGACAGTTTTTTTACTCTCCTGGAAAATCGTGTTTTCCGAGATACGCACTTTTGCACTTTCACCATCGAGTTACTACATATTTTGCAACTTGATGAAGGCCTGTGCCAAGCAATACATAAATATTCAATATCTTGACGTCCTGGTATAAATTCTAACTATCAGGCTGCTGCGCTGGTTATAGACTTCATTTGTTGGATAAAAACTGGCAAGTTGTCAACAGAATTCTACGAAATAAAAAATCCAATTTTTTTCTAAAATATTTCTGAACCACTAGCGAAGGCACTGCTTGTCAGTCTGAACGCTAAATTAGCTTTGAACGGAGGGTCTATTACAATTAGTATGGATGACAAGACAAGGTGGACTGATATTGGACTGAGTTAAGCAGAAAGGAACCAACCCACATTTTGGAAAAAATTGAGTTATGAGTAGTTTTGAACTCAACCACTACTCTACTATCGATCGCCAAAACTTTCTAAGTGTCTGTTGGAGCAAATTTTGCAGAAATTGAACTTGAAGTTTATCTTTTACACTGAGTCTTAGGCAGGAGCTAAACTTTAAACCTCTTCTTCTCGGTTCGATCCCGATGTGGCTTGGTTCCTGTCTGTTTAACTCCGTCCAATTAGAGGAAAACTTTGCATGTTGTCTCTTCAAAATCTTACGCAAGAAACCATTCACACAACAAAGAGGCTGAAAACGAACTCATGAACAAGATATTAATGAATACCTATTTTTAACACAGATCAAATGGAAGTTACCTAGATCATACAAATGACGTCATTTGTATTTTTGGCATTTAATCAATGTTAATTGTTAACATGTACGAGTCGATTTCCAGACTTCCCCTGGCTTCATTCGTTTTTTTGCGAAATTTTGGAGAGGAGAAATCTTATGTAATGATTTAACTCATACCTTGTCCAGTGACTAGAGACCTGTTGGTCAAATAGCCAGACGTCCTTTCTGTGATCTGAACTTCCGTTTGATCTTTCTTACAAATAATTTTTAATGTCTCATTCAGGAGTTGATTCCTGAACTACCGAATGTGAGAATCGGAGAATCGTTCTTTAAGCAAGATTTTGAGTAGGAGACGGGCAATTTTTCCTATCTCCTGGCATACTTGGAAGGAAAAACCCCCTGATCATCGGATCAGAAAGCATTCACGACATTCCTGTTATGGGTGAAAAAGTGAGCGACACAATAACAAACCATTAGTGGATTTTCTCTCAAAACAAAACAGTTTTATTCACTTTATCATACTGTTAGTTTACATATTTGATGGATCTTACTATATGTTAAGACTAAATTTCAACAGTACTTATCACTGAGAGGAGAGGATTAAGGATTCCCAGGGAAAGAGAGAAACTTTTTAACGTATCATTAGTCCATTATTTACACTAATCACAATAGCTAAACGTTAATTTGTTTATTACTTTTCCTTCATTTTAAACAATTTCAACCAGCGAGTCGATTATTCAAACACGTACAATGTATGAAAATTGCATTCAAAAAATTATAAGCGTTATGCTGTACGAATAAACACTCAAATTTAAATTTAAAGGTCAGTCTTTCAATAAAAATAAGCAGTAAATGCTGTCAGAATCAAGTAATGCTTTCAGCAGACGAATTTCGAATTTAATCTAAGACAGGGGATGAGACGAGAGCGACGCACAAGCGTCTAATTCGAAGGTTCACAAGATGATGATGGTGTAAGAAAAATTAAGAACCAGACTGTCAACGACTGAGGAGCGATTTGCCAAAATTTAGAATTCAACGCACAAACAGAGAGAGAGAAAATAAGAAGAAAAGGAGATTTACAAATGCAAAAAGCTCTGGTAACACACCAGTCTTCTAGCAAGTCACACAGATGGGGGTGCTGCATTATGATGCAGAATAGCAGGACAGAAAAGTTTCATCTTTTTTCTCTCTTTTTTTTCTAGTTTGACAACATCATTCCCCATTAAAATAGGTGTCACTCATGATCTTACAGACTGCCAAATTGGAGAGTCAGTTCATAGAGAAAGTGATTTGATTTAAACCATCTATATAAAAAGCATCTTACACAAACACACAAGGACCTGTCGTCTCGATCTTAAAATAGATGAGGTGAAAGCAGAAGACGTCAGTGCAAGATAACATTGCTTTACTTTTGCAAAATTGGAGATTACATCCATTTGCATGCTAAATGAGTAGTTTGGACAGAATTTTTCAAGAATTTAAGCTCCAATGCATTAGAGAAACCTTCTTTTCGCATTTACTCTTTTTTAAAACTCGAATCGAGCTTTAGAGTGCATAATTATTTCTTTTTCAAGTTCCACAATTTACAAAATACCCACTTTTTTGGCATTGGAACACAGCAAAATTTACAATTTAAAAAAAAAAAGAGAGAGAAAAGAAGGACGATCATTTTAAACCGAAGATTAATGTTCATTTGAAAATTTTGGTAATATTTAGCAGAGTTTCAAATCAAGAGAAACTGTGAAAAACAAAAATATCAAGATGGAGTACCTGAAATTCTTCATGGAGTCTGAAATCTAATACTTAATAATAGACTATTTTTAATGTTTCATTACATTTATGTTCAAAATTACAAAGTCTTTCTCAATTTAATTTGCTACAAAATACACTTACAGGTATGATAAATTGAATGAGGCCATCAAACCTCACGAAGAGCCCAAAGCAGAGGCCGATTTAACTTTTTTTTGGTTAAAAATTCTCATGGTTTGGACAGCTTCAATAATTTTCGGTAATGTTAGGGAAGAAGGAAGCTTGCACTCATCAGTAACGCCACTTAGTACATAATTTTTTTTGGATCCTGGCAGAAAAATACGAAACTCTCATGCTGCTAATTTTGCCTCCACCGAAAGCCCTGAAGCTGCCACTTCTTGAAATTTTCATGGTTTAGTTTGTGACAGCATGATCAAATTTCTTGGGTTCTGAATTAAGGGTTTTCTTTTTTTTCTGAGGAATTTTCAATTTCAATGGAAAGAGAAAGTTCATTCCTACGATAATGGACTTCAGTTGAAAAAAGGAGCTTAGGGATCAGGATGGTGGGTGTACTTGAAAACAATTTACTTTAGGTTCCCAAACATGCCATACATAATCTTTACATAAATGGTCCCAAAAATACTGTCTCGTAAGACTAACCTTGAATTCCAACTTTGGTGGAAGAACTGCACTGCTTTGCACCAAAACCCTTGCTTTTTGAAAATGGATTAGTAAACAGATTTCTACCCGGTAAAAGTCACATTTGAATAAATTGCAAAGGTCATTATGAAATCTTCATTTAATTTGAAATTTGTAGGAATAACCTTTGAAAATTGAGAGATGTTTAAACTCATCGGCAATTCACAATCAAAAATCTCGTGTTGATTAAATATTTGGAGATTACTGCTAAGTCATGACAATTCCTAGTGACAGAAGAACTGATTAGAACAGCCATAGAATTTGCATCAGATAGGTTGGCGATTGTTCACTTTTGATGGTGTGCGGTCAACCGATTTACACATCTGCCCCTAAAAAGCATCGATGCCTTCGAACATTGTTAGACAGCAACAGCACAGCTACCAACTATTCTGATGTCTATGTTAGTCACTCGGTAGGAATGATGGATCCACCAAAAGAAATTCATGAGCAAGAATTCTTCCCTTCAATGTGAGTATAAAGAAAGCATTCCTGGGGGGAAGCTGGAGATTTTTCATGGAATAGCCAGGCTAAAAAATATCACTTGTTGGAGGACCCAAAATTATGTACTTAACATCAGTGGATAATAGTATTACACTCAGTTGGCATATGCTGTAAACTTTGTCTACTAGAAGAGATTCATTAATTGACCCAAATATCCTGTAGTTCAGAACATTGCACGGATAAGGAGAGAAGAGAATCGGGCACACTCAAGTTATTTTAACCTCTTGAAGGAAGAAATATACCTCAGAATACAAAAAGATAATTTTATGATTCTCAAGCAAAACCTCAAAGAAACAGACATCAGATAGGTATAGATGCAAATAAAAGCCGGCTACTGGAAAATGAGATAAATATTTAAATATGTATCCTACAAAATTAAAAATTTCTTTACTCTTTTGAGAGAAATTTTAAATAATAAATAAAATGAAAAAGCTGCACTTAATAAATTAAACTGTCAATTCCAGGAAGGACTCCTATCTTTTTCAGCAGTAGTAAATTTCTCTCACAGACCAGCCGGACACATGAGGTGGAAGCAATTTTCAGTCAAAATGTTTTTGATTGATTAGTCAACAGATATTATATTTTAAGTTTACCTGAAAACGCTCCAAATTTAATTATACCTCTGTGGGAGTCAATAATATTATGTCCCTCAATTAAAAACATTTCACTAGCAAATTCATTTTACTCCAAAACTAATGCTTAAACGATCAAATAGGAAATCTACAATGCACCTTCGGACAAAACTCCTTCTCTGCCTATCCCTTAGTTGAGGCTCTTCATAATACAGCAAAAAAAAAAAAAAATCGTCTCGGAAGCTGGCGTCAGGCATCAAAATGAAATTTTCAAGGGTTGATTTCCTCTACTACTTTTGGGGGATTTTCACAGTTTTTGAAATGGACCATTTATCCATAAGATTGGCCTAATTTAGTCATATGAACTGGTTTGAATTCAACTTCAGTTCTTTTATGATAATGCATTTTGAGTAAGCCCTTATTCAATGAATATGGGCAAATTTTTGTTAGGTGTGAAATGCTTTTTTAAAACATCTGGTTGCATGTACATGATCATGAGTTACGAAAAAATCAAGTGGAGAGTCACTATTCGAAAGAGCATTTGAACAGAACAAATTATCAAAACGAGATAAAGAAAATAAAAAACAACGGAAAGACTTTACCGGCAATTGAACTAAGGACAAGTTGATTGAATGATAGATAATTCAGGGTTACAACTCTCGAAATTCAGGAATTAGCCTTTTCCTTATTTAAATCTGAGTAACTTACCACTAGCCTACACGACTTACCAAAATTTGAGCTAACTTTGATTAAAAGCATATCAAACGAAAACAGTTTCATAAAATTGAACATAACTATTTACAAACATTTAACTTAGAGTAATAGTACAAGTTTAGTATTAAATATTCGATAAAAATCCAATTTTACAAAAATAGTCAGTTAACCTAAAACTTCAGCTTACTAAAAATACACATTTATAAATGATAAACACTTGTAATTTACAGGTACGGTTAACAAAGGCATGCACGATTCTGAATTAGCCACACAGCTTCGCATCACTCTGCCTGACAGAGCTTTCATTTCAGCAACAATTCCAACATTTACAATGACCCACAACAATGATCCAGAACATACAGCATTGTAAACCTATTTCATCAACTTGTTAAAGGGATGCAATTTTCAGCTTTTAACCTCAATACATGAAATTTTTAGCTATATTGGATATATTTCTTTTGAATTCTGAGCTTGTTGGTGGTTCAACTATAACCAGCTTCAACTTGTACTGCAACTGTATTAGCCAACCTCATAGAAAACTCAATTCTCTGAAATAAAATAAAAGCTAGAAATTTGAGTTGACCTTCACAAGAATTTGGGTAAATACCGACACAATCCAGCAATTATCAGAATGACAAATGACGGACGTTTCATTCTAATACAATTATATCCTGATGAGGGCTCTGTTTGGCACAGAAATGTTTCGCACAGGGGCCAATTCAGCTTAGTACTTTTGCTTAGGTTAACTGAGCCTGTTCACTCAAAACTGCTACGAAACCCACGCGCATGAAAGTACAATATCACTTGAAACTCTACACAGACTCCTATTTGTGATGCTTGATGATGTAAATGATGGTCCATGGTTGGGGTGATCGATGGAAAGCCTGCACCGAGAAAGCTAAGCAACGGACACTCATTCTTGACAGCAAACTGAGTGCGTCAAAAGCATAAATGAGACCTTAGCAACAAGTCCCTCAACTCAATTAAAAAGGCAATGCTGCAGGACCATGAATTTTGGCTAATGAAAGGAACTCACAACTTCTTTCTAGTAAAGGCGATTCTTCAAAAAAGCCGCACCGATTAAAACATGAAATGGACATTGTGTGCTTTGGTGTAAATCAAGTTGAAGAGACAGACTGCGCAAGAATCAAAAATAAAATGATTTAGTTAGATGATTTCGGCTTTTAGTACCAGTATATTTCTTTCAAATGATGATAATTTCGTGAATACAGTCTTTCACTACCAGAATGAACACGAACAGAATAAATCCAAAAATACTGACCCTTGTGACAACTTTCACTTAATTACTCTGCAGACTCACTGTCACATTCAGTCGAGATTCAGAGGTATTGGGTCATTTACTGTTTTCTGCTTATTAGGAGCTAGGGTAGTTGCTAAAGCACAAAATATTTTCATGGTTCTCCTATTTATGGTCTTGCGTTTACAACAAGACTTACCATAATCCCACTCACTAACATACAAAATACCTCTTGGTGAATCTCTAATGCTTCCGTCAGAAATACTGGAAAGGAGGGAGGGAATAGCTGACCATTTTGTCATATTCTAACATTTCTAGGTTGAATAAATGAGGTTCTCTGAATAAACAAGGAATTTCAACAAGGAGCAAATTTTTCAGGTTAAATTTAAAAAAAAAAAAAGTGTTGGAGAGGGCAGACCTAGAGTAGATTGTTTTCTTCACGATAATCTTCAGGTTTTTCTCAGGTTAAAAATATAAAATTAACAAAGACTAACTTGAATGACCACAGACATATCGTTGAAAAAACAAGACGCAGTTAACTTTAATATTATGAGAATCGCTAATAATATCCATTTTTACAACAAACCATCTTCATTCTTGTCCCTACCCCTTAACTGACAAAGGACAGGCTGTAGATATTTTGTACAGAAAGACGGGAGTATCTACAGGTAAATTGATGTAGTCTAAACACTAAACTCTAGATTAAATACATTTAGGCTACATAATTGTCCTAGTTCTGATTCTATTCACATTGAGAGATAGCGATGAAGTAACATAAAAGTAAAGTTTTGGTCACTCCATGCTCCTCTTGAATGGTAATTTTTTGAAGATTCACAGCTAGTGTGGGTTTTGACTCGGATATTGGAAATCTACCGAACCCTCGAAAGGTTCACCAAATTCTTTTGAGAGCAGATCAAGAAGACATAGAAAAAACACATTGAAATAGCTTGTCTTTATCAACCGCAAAATGTTCAGAATGCAAACAAACCTGACTTCAACCTGAGAAAGCCTCAAAAATTTTTGACGCCAATTTTTGTCAGTCAACATTTATCCTTTGCAGGATGTTCGCCAAGCAAACTTTCTGCAAAGGATGTTTTTCCTCGTCTGCAGTTAAGAAATGGCAAGTTCATTACACCCTCACAACAACTTGAGTAGGTCAAGGCAGTCAAATGAATACATTTAAGCAAAGAGATGGATCAGCTATTATACTTTTGTGATAAACCATGCAAATAACAATCGAAAATGGAGACAAAATTTCCATGAACCCATTGAAATAACAATCTATTTCTTAAGCTCTCCACGGATCAAAAGATGTAAGGGGCTAAGAAGGGCTAATTCACTACGGCTCCACACTACTCCTGGAATTCATTTCAAGCCTTGCCGCAAGAGTAACTTTTACTTGGATTTTAAAACATACAAAAAACAGAGGATACCACGAATGGTAAGCAAAAAACTTTAACTTTACAATGGATTGAAGTAAGAATGTAACCAATTCTTCCCTTCATCTAGTCTTCAAAAGATCTAGATTGCAGTGGCAACAGAACTTGGGATCTAAAATCTCGATACACTAATACCATCCAAAGCTGAGGACTCCATTGCAGCATTTCTTTTCCAAATGGATCGCTCTGTTGCAAGAAAATCTAATATCTTTTGTGCTTAATTTTTGTGTGTGCGAGGACGTATGTGTGTTCCTCATAGAATGGCTGTCCTAAAAATACAAGGATGTACATTTATTAACTTTCTTGAAAAGTGTCAGATGGAATTACAGAAGGTTTGCTTTGAAAGGTAGGACAGTGGATGCTCACATTCCAAACATTATTTGAGAAGTAAAAAAATTGGGGAATTCTTGAGATGTAGGCTTGTGACACACATAGAAGTAGAGATTGACCTAAATAAGTTTTATTTGTCTAATCTTCTTTCCAAAGAGGTTGTTGGTGGACTTCATGGGAAATAAGTAATTAAGATCATTAATTCATTTGAAGAAGGAAATAGAAAGGATGTATTTCTTTTCTCGAAATACCATTCTACTAAGAAAGCAGCAAAAAGAAGAAAACTCAACTGAAAGCCATTCTAAAGTTTCTGTTAACATGAATATGCGTAATGCAACTACGAACTGCAACCCCAGATGAACCTTACTTTATTTCAGCTCTAGCTGAATACACTAACATTTTGGGAGACATAAAGCACTACATGATTTTTTTATTTATTTTTAAAACATTAGACCTAAATTGTAAATTGGATTGCCCTTTCAGAGCTTTACATCAGTCTTAGCAATCTAGTTTGCAAACTTTTGGTTACATTTATGAGATAAAATTCTTATGCTTGATATAAATATGAAGACATCAAACTAAATACATAAACCGTACTAATTACCTAACTTCGCCTGTGATACTAGTAAGTAGTGACCTATGTCTGGTTGCTGTATGATAGCAAAATGAGAGGTGCTAAGCACTTCACACTTTCGTTGAGTACTCATCACTGCGCCATCAATTAATTCCTGCTTGAATGCACGAGTTGTCAATTCTCAGCAAAGTATTGATAAATTCTTGCACCAGCATACTATGGAGTCTTCACAGGTCACCCTGCATATCTGTTTGATGTCTTCCATTATCATTGAAAAATTGCTTTCTTTTTTCTAAGATCTCCAACGGATATTCAGTTCAAAGACTTGGGACTTTCATAATTTAATTCTGCACATGAGTGAAAAAACAACTGCTTTACGTTAATGACAGGAAACTAAAGGCTGAACAAGTATGGTCATGCCGACAGACATACGAGAGTAATCAGGTAAAAATTTAATTCTACTACAAAGTCAGTTTTATTGAGCTCCAGCATCTTTCAAGTGGATTCAAAATGGCTAAAGAGCACAGCACTAGCATTTTATTCTGAGCAGGCAAAGGCCTATCAATATGCAGACCTGGTCCATTATTACTTTTAGTACTTTCGAAAGGGAATGATGAATGCAATGGGATGAATTTTGAAAACCTAAATGAGGCAATCTGCCTGTGGAAAATAGGATATTAAGACTAGACATTTAAAATGAGTAAATTTTTCACTCATTTCTCTTTTCACCTTTCTTTTGTTGATAGCATTCCTAACAAATTAATCAGCGATCATAATATGGGGTCAAAAAGATTAAGCACTGACGTCTTTCAAAACATAGTTTGCAAAGACATGAAGTGGTCGAGCACCTCTTGATTTCACCTGTAGAATGTTTCTAGTGTTGGTTTTGATTTCATACAAAAGTTATGATCACTTAAACCTACACGAGACCTTATATTCCAATAAGTATGTAGATGGATTTTCAGCAACTACAAAATACTATTGCAAATGGTCTGCGCTAGCTGATCTTAGAAATTCTTGAAAGATTTTGCATAATACACTGCATGAAAAAAAAAAGTTTCTTTTGTAAACTCAATCTATTTCCAGAGGTTAAAAAAAAAAAGAAAGAAAGAAAGAAAGAAAAATTGATATGTACGAATACTTCCTACAGCAATATATGCATTTTAATTAGTTGTTCAAGATTACTACTGTTATTTCGTTTAAATATACATGGTGAAATAAATACAGAACAAGTACACGAGTGATTCTGCAAAGATCATATATTAATGTTGTGCTGCTTGTAGTAAAAGTTGCTGTTTTCGTGCATGATTTCGCAAGAGCTATTGGTCGGAACAGAAAATTACTCTTACCACTCCTCCAAACATTTAAAAGAATTAAATTGCAGCAAAAAAGAAAAATACATGTATACTAGAAATGCGGAGGATTTGATTTTCAAGAGGACCTCTTTTTTATACTAGAACATATTGGATTAATTATTTTTGATGACCAAAAGCATACTAATGAGTTAATCTTCATACGATTCAAATCACTTAATGCAACTGAAAAAGAAAAAATGCTATTTTAGACATTATTATTTTAGTTACTTTTAGACAATGAATATTATATTTGCTGTATCACAAACTTGTATTTTTCACCGATAATTAAAATAATGGTATTAATTTTGGAATTTGCACTGCTTTCATCATTTTGATTTACTACAAAGAGACTGCATGTTTTTGTTTATGAGTAAAGTCTCAAAATGCCAAAATGTACGTGGAAATATCAGATTTTGGAAAGCCACCTACCTAAAGTTAACTGAGAAGATGTGATAAAAATTCAAAAAGAAAATAATTTCAAGGGAGATTCCCGCCTATTACAGGAGATGAGATTGTTCTTCAGAATGATCATCACTTTTCCGTCCAATTCACTATATTTTCTGAAATTTTAAAACAAAAGTACCCTCATTGCTTCAATAAAAATTTCCCTTCTCTTGTTATTTCAAAAACCAAAATTTTCCATGGAAGGATAAGACAGCACGCTAGTGTCAGAGGACACGATTGCAAAGTCATAATTTTCTATTCAGTTTTCATTGTAGCCCTTTTCGACTTGTCCAATGGTTGCATATGCTTACAATTATCCTTTTTTAACACATAGGAACCAGGAATGCTTCAAACTAACTTTCAGTAATAAGTTTCAGACATATGCAACAATATTCAAATTTTCAGAAATTCGATATTTTGCAATATCATTTTGGAGTTTCAATCATAAATTGACCATACGCATTCGACTCAAACATCACATGATTATACATATTTACACCACTGAACTGCTATTGCTGCTCCTATGACGTAAGGACTTACATATTTTTCTAGGTCAGCCCTTCCCCCCATAAGACTCCATGCTTTCCAAGGGTCTTAAGGATATGGATGCCTTTATGTCATAGGAACAATGTTATTAATGATTGGTAGCAGGACCAGTCTATGTAACCGCATAATCATCCGACAAAAGAGAGAAAAGTTTTAGTCATGAATGTTCTATCATTAAGAACGAGAATTCTAGGACTTCATCTATCGCAAAGCACTTCTGTTAAACTGAATCAACAAAATTCAAGCAACTCAAGTAATAACAACTACTTGGTTTCACCAAAAATCACGAAGCTAAAACTTTCTTTTCATTGAACTGAGTGTGCTGAGCTAGCCCAATTAGTTGGGTTGAAATTTGCCTTCTGAAGAGAACCAAAAAGGTTGAAACAATCCGTTCATGACAAGTTTTTCTACAAAGAGAATACCAGCAAAATTGATAACTTGAGTTCAATAGAGTTTTAAAAAACTAACGTATAGAGAAATCAGTTCATGTTCCTTGCCATAATTAACATCTAGAGCAGCAATTTTTCCAACTAGTTCAAGTAATTAAAGCTATAAATAAAGAAGAAAGGAGCACCAACAGTCACCTGTTCCGAGAGGTCCGAATATTCTACAAATTAATCTTTAAAAATATCAGTTTGAGCTTTTCATCCACCAAAGCAAGAGTAAATGCCTTCACAACAGAAAACTATTCCTACTGGTTTGATTAAATCATACAATTAGAAAAATAAATAAGTAAGTAAATCAAAATTACAAAAGCGAGGGAGCAGCGACCTGAAATTAGTCCGCAGATATCTGGCCCCGAAATTAATTAATCTACACTCAACAGACCTGAGCTAGGCTCCATATCAGTCAGAGAACTTCCATAGGCCACGCTTTGCCGCTACAGACTCAATCTTTTCACAGCCATGATGTTTTTTCAGAGAGCCCCCACTGCACCCTGGAGATCACCAATACAGCAAAAAAAGAATTGCTAAATTCAGCTGAAGAATTACAGTGAAATTATTGATAGCCGCGTCTCATGCATTTACTGCGCTCCGATAGTTACTAGAAGAAGACTGTACGAAAACACTATTCCTCGATTGGGGAGACTCTCTTTGGAAAGCTTCTCCAGTCTGGACCAAGCTCTAATTCTGCAGTTCCTTGTGCACACAGCAATGCAAACAAAATTACCCCAGTAGTTACTGGTGATCTCCATGGCAGTTACAAAATAATAATAACTATTTGCTGCATTACGAACCTTACATTAAATTTTTCACCTGACTAGCTGCTTTGATTTTGCTACAGTCTCTCTAGAACTCTTGCCTTTAAAATTCATACTGATGGTCGACAGGTCACTGTCCTCTTTACAAAATGATTGACAAAACAAAGAATTAAAAATTTACAACCAGCAACAGCTGAAGGTTTGTATTGAGTCCCGTTCTGTTGACTTGTGCTTGAGAGTTTTAGGAAAAACTTGCTTCGCTAAAGGAAAGCATATTCAGTGCATAGCACACTTTGACAACTTCGATGCAGTTGTTGTAGTCACAACTTGAATTGATCGAAACCCTTCTGTCAAAATGTTTTTGCATATACATACAGATGCCTTCGATTGAAGTTGATCTAAATGAGCATTCAGTAGATTCCTTCATATTATCTGGTAAGATAAACAGGTAGAAAAATAGTGTGCTAAAAAGATCCAAGACTCAAAGATTGGGTGTATTTCTTGTAAACCTACTCCATTTCATCCCATCAATTAGCTCTTTCTTTCAATAGAACAACTGAAAGGAAGCTAAAGAGTATTTCACCCCTTTATAATTTTACGTCCACAGCTCTCCAGATTTTCAGAAGCAACTCAGAACTAGGAAAATCTTTACTGATTACTACATTTTCGAATGTTTTCAATGTCAAAAAGAACTGTTTACATTCTCACAATCCTGACATTGAAACACTCTCCATCTCATCTCCAAAAGAGCATTTTAGACCTTTTGGCTAAAAGACATTGCCTTATGCCTCTCTAAGGGATGCAATTTTGCAAAATGTTCATCATTCTGCAAAACTAGGACACAAATTTGTGATTTTGTCGTTGTGGGGGATGCTGGTCTCTTTTAAAAAACATTTGTCTGGCTTAGTATCTTGACTAGCACTCAAATTTAAAAAGAAAACCTGATGGCAGGCACACAGAGATGGGGAAATGGCAAAAAATGATTCCACTATGGTTGAATTGACCATAGACAGCAAACTTAAGTACATAACCACGAGTTTGCTACAAGAGAAGAGAACAAATTATCTTCTGGGAATCTTTTTCGAAGATGTAGAAGGTTTGAAGGCACTTCCACCAATCCTTAACTATTCAGGGACCGAAACACAAGCGCGAGAACGAGAAACCCTACAACCTTTGAAATAACACGAGCTAGATCTACTCCCCACCGACTGGTTTGCACTTCACTCGCATGATGACTAAGGACAACAAATTTAAGAGAAAAAAATAATGATGAGTCCACCATAAAAAATGAAACGAGTCTAACAATAACAATTAACAAAGAGGAAGAAAAATAATGTATACAATAAATCAATAAAAGATAACAGCTGTAAAAACAAAAGAAAAGGAAAAAGAAGATAAAAAAGGTTACGCTCGTGCTATATCATAGTCTTGCTTCAACAAGGACGATAAGATTTGGTTTTTTCTTCTTTCAATATATCGATTTGAAAATTTCAGTGTTCCTAGTATACAATATGTGTATAGCATGACTTATGTACATAAACAAAATTTATTTTCATTTCAAGTCATAACAAATAAACATCTATTGTGTCACGATTTTTATACTTGCATTGCAGTTTTCGTCAGTTTCTATTATTTTAAAAATAAAACTTTCCTTTTACTCTTTAGAGGATTGCATGTTTTCAACAGCAAAGAAATGATTAATTAGAAAAAAAAAATTCCACAGGCATGCATACTACCGACAGAACGAAAAATGGAAACAAATCATTTGACAGCAAAATGGTATTACCGCGGGGGAATTTTATCACAGTTTGACACTAAAAATCTTGCTAATAGCCGAACAACATGAAAGGCAACACAAAATCGTTAATGAAGCGAGATTTATGTTTGCTCTACGCTCAGTGACATGTCGTTATGGCTAAGAAAAATATTGTTTAACATTATCTCCTTTTTTCCTTCAATAAAAAGAAAACATAACAAATATACATTAGAAAAGCATGTTTGATTGGTTATAGGCACTTGGTGGGAGCATTTAGCTGGTGTCTAGCTGGCGCTCCCGACCACCTCTCCCGCGGCGGGCATGTGGCATAGTTCACTTTTCCTGAAATACAACAAGGAGTAAAATTAAAAAATAATATCTCAATCTTGCATCGAGATTTATGCCTACAGACCGTTGTTCTTGGGAATTTCTGATTGGTTTGCAGAAAGCTTAAGAACGCTGCCTACCTGATGATAATACAAGGACCAGGATAATCAAAATTTCAAATTCCCTGCAGAATAGTCGCACGGTACCGATTGACCTCCTGCTGATGCTAAAATCATTTGAGGTTTTGTTTATGCCCCAGTTGCCACCACTTCTTTCATCAGTATTTTGATGCCATTGGCAAACGTTGATAGCTAGTAGCCAATGACGACCAATGCTCAAAAATAACTCCTATTTTGAAAAAAAGCGCAGCAAATTTCATCATACACGTATACATGCGTAAATTTCACGAAAATGAACGGATTTCGCCGATTTCGCGGATTCAGCGATAAATCCGGAATGTGGCCGATTTCACGTTATTTCGCTTTGTATTATCGGGATCAGGGGGTTATGACCGGTGCTTCTGTCTGGTTTTCAGATTCCTAAGCACATTTTAAAAATTTCGCAGCGAATCGTGGCGGCGAAATTTTGCGATGTCCATATACCAATAGGTGCTTGGAACTTATTTTTTTAAAATAAGATTATTCCTATCTAATGAACTTTATTTTAGTGATGAAGACCTTTCTCGAGAACTGGAAAGTAGGATCACAAAACTTCCCGACCACACAATCCGCCCGACCGCTATAAGTAGAGGAACCCTGTGAGAAAGAGGAAAAATGGGAGAGGGCTATGAGATTTCCATGATATTTGTTGTTTTCGGGAGACGGTCAAGTTTTTTTATGAACGTCTTCGAAGGGAAAAGAATCATGATTTTGAGTAGAAGTAGAAGGAAGCCATTTTTCAATTTCACTCTGCATTGCCATTTTGTACTCATAAGTATAAAAAATCTAGCACAAAAAACTCGTTCCCTCATGTTACACAATTGACTTTTAAGGCTATGTTTACATGTTGAACCAATCGTTATCGATACAATCGCACCTGTTCCACGTATCGAATACGATCCATACGTGGTGTGTACATAACACATTAGGCAGCAGTAAAAACACAATGTAAACAGTAAAAGTCGATCCACTTACCTTGTTACAAAGTTCTGCTATTTGGGAGATTTGGTTCTTGAAAAGCGAGACGAGTTATCTCTTCTATCCCTTCGAGGAGCTCCTCTTCCTCCTTCACGATCGGAAGAAGTTTTGCTTCCTCTACTTCTTGATGAGGCTCCACTTACAGTTTCTGAAATAATACAAAATAAATACTGAGAATGAAAAGAAAATCCCTAACAGAAACAGATTTTGAATGGACGGATTTGTTTTTTCTCCTATGCTCTTTCAGAATGGTGTCGTCTTAGCAGTTGATGTTCAACACTGATCGTAAATGCGTCGATAGTATGTTCTTATCAGACTGGTGATAAAACTGATTTATTGGTGACAATCTTACTGAAAACAAAGGAATAATCTGCATGGTTTTTTGGAAAAGAAACATATAAAATGCCTATTTTTTTATCTAAACCGAATGATTATTGTAGTCGCCGTGAAATTTTGTTTTCAATGAGTAGCCTTGGGTTTCAAGGAACCCATCTGTTAAGCAGAATTTAAATATTGCTGAGCCGCATGCATATGATATGATAAATGAGGAAACAGGCTTCGAAGATTGTGAATTAGTTTCAAAATACATTTATCACTGATGGTCAAAACACAGGACTAGCAACCAAAACATAAGAGTTGTGTATTAAGGGAAAATCTCCGGTAAATATACCATGATCAGTTAAAGTAACTAATATGCAATCAAAGAGAAGACTTGATTTGGAAGTTGAAAACAGCCAAACATTTCAATTATAATCAACAACATTGGATAATGGAGAAAAAATGAGAGTAAAAATAATCGTGCACAAAAATAAGAACAATCTTGCCCTGCAGACTAATGAATATTTTAAAACTAGGGGGCTACGCCCCCTGGCCGCTACGCGGCCCAACCCCCTGAAGGTGCTCCGCGCCGTCAATGGGCCGCTTCGCGGCCCTATTTTTACCCTCCTATCGGTGTTAGTTTTATTTTTCCCCTAAAAAATTACGATATGAGATAAACTTTACTTTTAGAATATAATACTTTTTGGTTTTGATGAATAAAGAAACACATTTTTTTTTTAAGTCTAAAGGACGCGTTTTGGAATGACTGCTTGATGAAATATTGCAGTAAAACAACGATCATTGATAATCAGGTAATAATTAAATATATCGGGATGTGGGAATCGAACCCACACCATGATCTGAGTGGACGCTTCCGACGTCTTTGACGACTCGGCCACCGCTCGTCTTGACGGAATCAGAGCGAATCTTGTGTAGATAAGTGTAGTGCTGATGCGCAGGCTACACAGCTACTGCGCAACCTCTTTGACCACTGCGCATCCTCCCGCGCATAGCGGTAGCAGTCTCGGAGCATTCTGAAAATTCACTCACTTTTATAACGTGATTGTAAA